CCCTCCCTCCCTCCCTCCCTCCCCCCGGGGACGAGCCGCGATAACTAGACTGCGAAATTTATGCGTTCATTGCCGATGCCGTTGAATAAAAACAATGAGCCGCGCGGACTCCAATAATATTTGATGTCCGATCTTTTGTTCCGGCGGCAGTTTCGGCATCGCAACATTGTTTCGTTTACAGACGGATTCTGATTGACGTACTGTTAACCCTTCGTATTGCCAGGAGTTTTTAATATGAGCAACTCTGATCATTTTTAGTATGAAATAGCAGCTACTTAGTAGAATGGTATTTTGCTGTGAACGATTTATATGTTTTGTGAAAGGTTTATATATTTTGAAGTTGTTTGATTAAACATGGAGTTGTACACTTATGATAACGAAGTGCGAAGGGTTAATTTCGTATTTTTTAGAGAATCTGTGTTCGTTATAGGCACACTGCGTTTAGTTTGTATAATTCATGGATCTACGAAGATTTCTATATGGTACGTTTCACAGCTTCTTTCCGCGCGGCTCTTCGGTAACGTCGAATTTATTAACGCGATCCGGTTCCGCGAGCAGTAGACAGTGAAAATATGAATTAGCATAAACATCCGCAACCCGTCGGACGCGTTGCGAAATTCCGGTTATGGCAAAGATATTGGCGGGAAACGATATTTTGTCACTGTCGCCGGGTACAGTGCGCCCGTGTGTTCCCGGTACACGACCCCTGGAAAGAATCTGGTACGAGGAACAGAATCCAGCGCCTATCCCAAGCTTTCCAATGACAATTTCTTTCGGGATCCGAGTTCAGTATGTCTCCATCGCCGGCGAGAATCCGGCAAAAGCCAAGTACGACCGAGCGTCGATACACGACGCCTGTAAACTGCACGCCGGTGACTCCCGGCCGACCGTACAACCGACTCTGGTCCAGATAGATCACGTCCGATATAATTAATGAGCACGACCTGCAATTCCCATACACACCTCTGGCTCCGCGGGTCCGCCTTAACAAGTACCTCGGCGAGCCCAGTCTAACCTGGCCCAAACAGGGTACACCGGTGATAGCTGCGGAACTACTTCTACCAGTGGAAAGACAGTTCAATGATATCTCAGATACCCGAGACGATCCGTTCCATGTTGGCCGAGACCGTTCGTTTCATAAATCGGTTTTTCCGTCCGCGAATCGTGGATCGACTGTGGAACGTAGAAGTAGCGATCCTTGAGCTTGATGGTGATCGAAGAAAATATTCGAAGGAATCTTAACACTTGGCACTCTAGGTTGTTTTGTAGTCTATCGGCAACTGCAGCTAATTTTTATAGTATTCCTAGCGAAAATGAGAAATGCTATTCCTTCGATCTTTTATTTTCCTTAGTACAAAATTTGGATGTGGGGAATCGAATAATTTTAGGGTAGTTTCTTTAAGATTCATTAAAATATTTCATATTATAACTGGTGCGATATTGGAGCCCACAGAGTTCAAAGGGTTAACTTTGGCGAAGCTTAGAAAGTTTGTTCTAATACTTCATTTAGCTTAATTAAATAAAAACATTATTTGAGGAGTACATAGATCTTGCAGATATTAACTACATAATAGAATATAATATTCATCTTAGAAGACAATATCTGAAGTGTCCCAGCTTCCTACTGACAATCTTCGCGTATTTAAATGTCTCTACTAACCTACACTCGAATCTACCTCATTCCACTTCGAATACCTCCACCAAAATCGCGCCCACAAAGCCACTTACAAAACAATATCTACAATAAACAGGAAACCAAGTCGCGAACGATTTGCATCGCCAACATCCAACCCGAAAGCTAAAGAATCCATCCCATTAAGGTACCTCGAAAGCGAATCATCTATCGCCGGTATCTCGAAGCGGGAACTCGAGCACAGGTACGTGTCCGCGGAGCGCAGTGACGTGACGGCGTAAATCTGAGCAGCCGACAGTGCCGATCGCCGCTGAAACGCTACCCGATCATCAGTCGTGAAAGCTGGCCGGGGAAAATGACCGGCCGATCCCGTGGACGGGTTAGGTGGCCGGTCCCGTCGCGTCGCGCATTCTCGAAAAGACTCGCATCGCGGCGGGATCCCCGGTC